GAGATCAATGGAATAGAATGGCAAGTTCTGAAAGATACTCACATATATGACCAGTTGAGTTGCCAAGGCAATTCAGTGGGAAAGCAGTGTCTTTGCAATAAACGATGCTGGAACAACTAGATAAGCATATAGATTAACTTTCATCCCTACCTCATGCTACACCAAAACTAATTTGAGGCTCTTTAGACACCTGAACAGAGACTTGAAAATTACTACATTTGTAGAGTCATAAAGGAGAATGTCCTATTAGGATAGTCAGGGATTCTTGGAGGATACTCAGAAATCACTTGAACACGTTCAAGAAAATATACTGATGAATTGGTCTACATTAAAATTAAAAACTGCTGTTCATCAAAAGACATCATTAAGAGAATAAAAATGCAATGTACAAAGTAGGAAAAAATCTGTAATGCATATATTTGATAAGAACTTATGTCCAGATATAAATAATTTGTACCCATACTATATAAAAAATCTCCAGAACTTGATGATAAAAAGACAGATAGCCCAATTTTAAAAACTAGGCAAAAGACTTTAACACTTACAAACGGCTGTTAAGCAGATGGAAATGTGCTCAGCATCTCTGGTCACCCGAGAAATACAGCTCTAAGCTATAGTGAGATAACATTATACTCCCTCCAGAATAGCTAAAAATGGAAAAGATGGACAATGCTGGTAGAATGCAGAGAAACTAAACTCTCATTCACTGTTGGGAGGAGTGTAAAATGGTACGATCATTTTCAAAAACTGTTTGGCTGTTTCCTACAAAACTAAACCTACACTTTAACCCCACACTTGCATTCCTAAGGATTTACAAAAGAGAAACAGACACATGTCACCAAAAATATTTGTGCGTACATGTTTATGTCAACTTTGTTCATCAGAGCCTGAAACTGGAAGCAACCCAAATGTTCACTAAAGAGTTTCATTTAGACAAATCATAAATTATTCATAGGTGGAAACCATTCAAACAGTGAACTATGGATATCCTTAGTTTAACACAGTTGCCTCATTTGCATGGAAGAAGTCAGACCCCGAAGAGCACATACTGTTTCCTGCTTGTGTAATTTCAAGAACAGGCTGAAACAGTGAATGGTGATACAAAGAGAAGTGTTAGGCTGGGGGTAATAGTGGCTCACACCTGCAATCCTAGCAATTGAGAGGCTGAGGGAGGAGGATTGCTTGAGACTAGGAGTTTAAGACCAACCTGGGCAACATAGTGAGACCCTTGTCTCCAGAAAAAAAGAAAATTAGTTGGCTGTGATGGCACACCTGTCATCCCAGCTACTCAAGAGGCTGAGGCAGGAGGATCCCTTGAGGCCAAGAGTTTGAGGCTACAGTGAGCTACGATCACACCACTGCACTCCAGCCTGAGCTATGAAGCAAGACTCCATCTCTAAAAAACAAAGAAAGAGAAGAGAACAGTGGTTGCCTGTAGAGGTGGGGACTAGCTGCAGAGGGGTGTGGGGACGCCTGCTGCGGGGAAGGGAATGCCCTGTGTTCTTGATTGATGTGATGGTTACACAGGTAGATAATTGACCATAACTCATGCGCTTAAGCTCTGTGCATTTCACCGGCTGTAAATTTTACTTTAATAATAACTAATAATAAAAAGCTCATAGTGCCTGATGTTTGGGGCAGGGTGGACACAGGAGGCCAGTCAAGAGGCTGTTATTATAGTCCAGGGCACAGGAGTGTGGTGAAGAGATGTTAAGAAGTGGCCAGACTTGGGGGGCTTTTGGTGGGAAGGCCAGGGCTGGTTAGCCCAGGAGGCATAAGTCTTGGTTAGAGCCAGCTCTGGATAACTGAATCTTTGAAACTCATTTATTTGCGCATTGTCCACTGACCTCCTCTTTGTAAAATAATTTGATGCTAGTTAGAACGAAGGACATGTATTCAGTAAGGCTGAGAATATACAACTAAAAATTGAAGCCAGAAGATAGAAGAAGCAAACATTTCAGTTTGGGAACTGCTATTAGAAAATGAAGATTGAGACCTCTCTGTACCCAGAACCCTCAGCCAGCAACATGACCTAGGCTGTCCACAGGTTGCAAAGGAAGTCGTGTGGGCTAATGTAAGGAAAGACAGCTCAGACTACATATCCAACCTGTTCTAAGTCATGGTGGTTTTAGTTGAGAAGTATATATGTCTGTTAGAGACTACTCTGTAAAAACATACACTTTTGCAGAATTTATAACAGATTATTACATCACAATGGTCTGTTACATCAAGTGCTCTTCAAAGAAAGGGGAGTGTTTTAAGAAAAGCTATCTTCTCTGTTTGAGGCCGAATTTATTAAGTATAAATGTGAATAGCTCTAATTTAGGATAAACTATAAGCTTGGGTATAGTATCCATACATTTATGGAATTATTATTATTTAAAATCACTACAAAGTTACATGCTACTATGGAGATTGAATTTGCTTTGAATATATTAAGTGTAAATGAAGACAGCTATTGATACAGTAGAATTGCTGCAAAAAATAAATGCAGAAAAGCACATAACTGTTGATTGATCATTATCATTATAGAGCATTCAGTTAGTGCTGCCGTTTCAATGAGAGGTGAAACTTATCAATATTAGACATTCTTTAATTAAGAACAAGCAATCAGAAATAAAATAAGAATGAAAGAAAATAGGGAAATTATGTGTGAAAAAGAGGTTAAAAATACAGACCAGTAAGGCAGTCATTCTTATTAAGCCTATTCTCAGTTCTGGAACTTTGGTTTGGCATCTTGAAATGGATTAGTACAAATAATGCTGAAATCAACATCAGAGAATTAATGGCGAGCTCCTATTGTCATTTCCCATCAGATCTAATAGCAAAGGTCACTATCTCCTGCAGAGAAAAGAAAGGGAAGTAATTGTCATAGATAATTTGTAATGCTCTATGGTGGCTAAATTTCAGGTTGATTCTTTAGTAAATGTCCTTGCAATTATTTCAAATGGTGAGTAAAAATGACCACAGTTGAACACTGTTAATAGCAAAGTCATACACCTGCATTGACAGTGTACACGAAGAGAATGAAATATGAAGAAAGCTATGAATGGTTGGAAATTAAGGGGACAATGCTCATTCCTGATGATTTTGGTTTAGCTAAAACAGAGCTGGTGGCAATGAAGGGTTTGTTGTGATGATTCTAGAAAGGGTGACTCTCAGAAAGATGAACTGGGGGGGCCCAAGAGAGGTTGACGTCAGGTGCTCTTTGGGGACAAGGCTGGTGGTGAAAAATCGGGCCAATGAGGAAGGCTGGGCCACTCAGAGTCCCATGCCTTCCTCCGGCTTAATAATGAGGAGCAGGGAGGGCTGGTGGCAAGATGTGCTGATGAAAAACCTGAAGCTCTGGATTCCGATACTGGATACTGCTCTTTGCTTACCAGGTGACTGTGGTGAGACAAGTCATTTGACCTCCCTGAGCCTGGGATTTTCTATCTGTTATGTGACGTCAGTCTTTTCTGTCCTGTTTTAGCCTCCCAAGTAGGGTTGTTGGGAGAATCTGTGCAACAAAGGACACTTGGGCCCTCTAAAAAAGTCTGCAAATATCTGCTTTAGTTGTCTTTTATTATTTGTTGGTAATAACTTCAGCAGTGTGAGCTGAAGCTGGAGTCATGCAGGGGTTTATGCTGAAGCCTGGAGATATTTTAGGAAAAATCAATACAAGATGTATTGAGTTGGAGCCATGATAAGAGTCATCAATCTTGACAGCCTGCTGTTTGATCAAATTAATAATGCTTGAGAGAAACATCGTAAAAATCTGTGGGAGGGAAACATCTAGAGTGTGTTTGGAATAAGAGCTTTAGCCAATGTGGAAATTGAAAGACATCCAAGGAAGGTTAGTTATCATCCTGCTGCTGGTGGAGCAGTATACACACACACACATACACACACACACAGACACACAGACACGCACGTACACACATGCATACATGGACACGTGCACACAGACATACGCACACACATGTACATACACATATACACATGGGTAACAAGCACCAGATTTTTTGCCTGGGTCTCAGAAGAGACTGGCAAACAAGAACAACTAGTTCTGATTTCAACAATGGACAGCTGCACTTTGACCACTCAAGGGCCCACCACCTTCTAAGGAAATGCTGGCTGCCTCTGAATTTTTAAAATGAAACATGTACAGTGTTTTTGCCATGTCTCATTCGTCACTGGTGGAGAAGAGTATGCTCGTATAACCTTGGGATTTGTTGCTGTTGTGTACAGTGAGTGATGAGAGGGAATTGGGACCTCATAATTTTTAAATCATCAAAGCCCTGAGATGGTCTACAGATGCAAAGTAAAATTACTGCTTTTCCTGTGTCCAGAATGCTCTCGGACGTTCCCAATCCTCCATCCTTACATCAAGATTGTCACTGAAGCTGGGTGCCATGGTGCATGCCTGTAGTCCCAGCTTCTTGGGAGGCTGAGCCAGGATGATTGCTTGAGCCCAGAAGTTCATGTACAGCCTGGGCAACATAGTGATACCCTGTCGCTACAAAAAAAAAAAAAAAAAAAAAAAAGAAAAAAAAAAGATTGTCAGCAGGGTTCCAGCCAGGTGTTCTCTGTTGGTTGAGACATCAGTGCAGAGAGGCTGCGGGCTGTGGCACACATTGGAGGAGCTGGAGAGAACCGTGGGGGTGCTGGCCTGTAAAGGGAACACCAGGAGCTAGGAGGGACAAACCTGGAGAAGGCAAAGCAAGGCAAGAGGTGAGTCAGTCACAGGCTGGCCTCCATGCAGATGCAGATGACTATTGTATAAGAAGAGTCATTAACACGAACATGGTTAGAGACCAGAAAGCCACATTAAAAAAAAAAAAAAAAGATGAAAATGTTTACTTCAGTAGAGCGATGGAATTATTTCTTAATTCAAAAATTGCTTTGATTGTGTTTATTTTTTCATTATAAAAGTAACATGCATTTATTATAAAGACTGTGAATTTAACAAGTCAGAAAACCATAAGGAAACCTGGATATTGAGTCTGTCATGTTTTTAGGCAGAGAAAACAAAGAATTTTGTCAGCCGAAGCCTCGTCATAGGAGAAGTCCTTTCCATGGCGGACATGGCCACAGGAGTGAAGGTGAGAGGTGTTGGCCACCTGCCCTGCACCAACTCATGCTCGCTTTGCATGCCAAGGAGTGAAAACTATAACTACGTGAACTCTCTCAGTCTATGTAGTGGCACAGGTGTTGGTAAAATGGCATACCTCAAACCCCATCCCTGGCTGCTTTTTTTTTTTTTTTTACCATTATATCCTATCCTGTTTTTGTTTTTAATTTGCTTTTCTTCTTTGTACAGTTTCGTTACATTGTGTCAATCAGTTATTTTCCTTTGTCTTAATTTTATAAAAACAGTATCATAATCCCTTGTCATTTTCTTTTTTCACTTGAATATCATTGCTAAGATCGATCCATATTGTTGTGTATCCCTGTATTTACTAAATTTTAAAATAAAAAACCTTTTTATTTTGAAATAATAAAGCTCACAGAAAGTTACAAAAATAGTACATCAGGTCATGAGAACCCTTTAGTCATGGTGACATCTTATATAGCCGTAATGCCATGTAAAATCAGGAAATCAATATTAGTACAGCACTGTTAAATAGGACGTAGACGCTATTCAGATTTCACTAGTTTTTACATGCACTCAATTTTGTGTGTGTGCGTGTGTGTGTATAGTTTTATGCAGTTTGACCCCATATGTAGATTCATGTAGCCACTACCACAATCAAGATATAGAACTGGAGGGGTGCGGTGGCTCACGCCTGTACTTTGGGAGGCCGAAGCGGGCGGATCACCTGAGGTCAGGAGTTTGAGACCAGCCTGGCCAACATGGTGAAACCCCAGTCTCTACTGAAAATACAAAAATTAGCCAAGTGTGGTGGTACATGCCTGTAATCCCAACTACTTGGAGGGCTGAGGCAGGAGAATCATTTGAACCCAGGAGGCAGAGCTTGCAGTGAGCCCAGATCATGCCATTGCACTCCAGCCTGGGGGACAAGAGTGAGACTTCATCTCAGAAAAACAAAAAAAGAAAGAAAAGAAAAAAGAGATAGAACTGTTCCATCATCAGAAAGAAACTTCCTGGTGCTACCCCTTTACAGTTTCATTTGGCCTCCACTCCACCCCTGTCTTTTGGCAACCACTGAATCTGTTCTCCATCTTTATAGTTTTGCCATTTGGGGAATGATATAGCAATGGAAGAATGTTTCGACCACTGTATAATATTCCTTTTGTGTGAATATACCACAGCATTTGTTCATCCACTTTCTGATGTTGTTTCTAGGATTTTGGTAATGTGAAAACTGCTGCTGTGAATACTCTTGTCCATGTCTGGTGTTGAACATGGGTAAAACCTTTCCTTAGGTATTCAACTAGGAATGGAATTGCTAGTTACAGGATGAATGAATGCTTAACTTTAAAGAGTAGTGTTAATCTATTCTCCAAAGTTAGTGCATCAATTCTCATTCCTACCAACAGCATGTAATCGGATTCTGTAGATCCATATCCTCTCTCATACTTGGAATTCTTAGACTTCTCCATTTTTGGCAAATTTTTATAGAATGGCATCTTACTGTCTTGAGGGAAGACAATTATCTTACATCCAGCTTACCAAAGATGGTGAACAAAATAGCTCAGGTGGGTGTGTCTCCTGCGGCCACTCATGCTACCCAGGCCTTCCAGCAGAGAGTCATTCTTGGGGGCCTCCTTTCCCTCCCTGGACACCACTGGGTCTCAGAATAATTTCTCATATCCAAACACCCAGTCCCGATGTCCCCAAAGAGGAAAAATTACACCTAGAACATGAAGACGAAATGATCGGACAAGAAGCCAGGTCAATTGGCAGTGAGTCCAATATGCTGGTGATTTCAGTTTGGTGTAGACATTGTCTATGGGTAGGTAGGAATTAAAAACAAAGGAATCTGTGAGGGTCGTCTTGGGTGGGTGTGTCCACCATCAGGTTTTTCCAGGAAGACTAGGCTTTTGTGATTTCAGCCAGGCATGATCTCCCTTCCCTCTTGGATGGGTTGGCTGTGGCTTTCAGAGAGAGCAGTTAGCTGAGATGCAACATGTAGATTCCCTCTCAGAAATACCAGAGGATTCTCATCCAGATTCCTATGATCCCAGTTTGTGCTTTTACCATACTGCACCCCCACTCCACCCTGCCACCTCCCTTCTCTTTAGCAGGCCTCTGTGGATTGTGACCATAGGGATAGCTCCACAGGTGGTGGCAGCTCTCTGGGTAGGGAGCCCTCTCCTCTGGTTTCCAGGGTCTTGCACTGAGCTTAGTCCATGGAGTTGCAAAGGGAATGTCTGAATGAATGAGGGAAGGGGCAGCATGTGGCTTAAAGCAGACTTAAGAAGCATTTTATCCAATTGCAATGTGTGTATCCTATTTACATCTTGGTTCAAACAGCAAACTATTTGTAAAAAAAAAAAAAAAATTGTGTGTCAGTTGGGGAAGTCTGAACATTGGACATTGGATGATATTAGAGAATGATTACTAGATTTTGAGGTGGGCTAATGGTTTTAGGGCTATGTTTTAAAAAAGAATCTGCATCTTTTACATACATATTGGAAATATTCAGGGAAGACCTAATATGATGTCAGGGATAAACATCAGGATAGCCTGGGGTGTAGGAAGGGGAAGTACATGGGGGTGGCTGGGGGGAGGGAGATGAAGAAAAATGGGCCATGAGCTGGCCATCTTTGAGTTCATTGCTTCTATTTTGTTTGATTTTTTTCCATAATACATTTTTTTTTTTGAAACCTTCTGAGTATCCTAGAAGGAAATTGGCATGGACTTAAAGAAAAAGTTGTTTGAAATAACTCTGTGCACACTCCACTCTCCTGTTTAAAACCTCTTTTTCCCCATTACGCTTTAGAAACATCCTCTAATCCTTGATGTTGCCTATGGGTCCTTGCAAGTGTGGCCCTGGTCACGTCTGTTCCACTTTCCCCTTCTTCTGGTTCCCTTTACCCACCTTTGGACCACTTGCTACCAGCCCTAGCTTAGTCTTTCCCCTCCTTCACCTGGCTGACCCCTATTCATTCTTCATGTCCCAGCTAAAGTGTCCTTCCCACAGGGATGCCCCTCTCAAGCCTGCAACTTGAGTCCCATCCACTCGCTGTCACCTGTCTTTGCTTTTTCTAGTTTTCTGCCATAACCTGTACCCATTTTGAATCTATGTATTTATTCATGGAATTACTTTATTTCTCTTACTACCACTAGAGGGAAAACTCCTTGAAAACTATAACCCTTACACAATACTTGAGTATTAAATATATACACAAAAACAAAACAATATGGTGGTTTCTCAAAAAGTAGGACATAAAAGTTACTGTATAGCTCAGAATTCCATTAACTGGATACACACTCCGAAGAATTGAAAGTAGGGACTGAAGTAAATACTTGTGTGCCAATGTTCATTGCAGCATGATTCATGATAGCTAAAAGCTGGAAACAAGCCACATTTCCATCAACAGAGAAGTGGATAAACAAAATGTGGTATATACACATAATGGAATATTGTTTAGCCATAAAAAAGAATGAAGTTTAGACACATACCACAATGTGGATGAACCTTCAAATTGTTACGTGAAATAAGCCAGACATAAAAGGACAAATATTATATGAGTCTGCTTATATAAAATATCTAGAATAGAAAAATTCGTAAAGACGGAAGGTAGATTAGAGGTAATGAGAGGTGGGAGGGAGGGGAGAATGGGAGTTATTGCTTAATAGGTACAGAGTTTTTGTTTGCGATGATGAAAATGTTTTGGAAACATTTGTGATGGTTGTACAACATTGTGGCTGTACTTAATGCCACTGAATTGTATGCTTAAAAGTGGCTAAAATGGCAAACTTTATACTATATATATTTTGCCACAAATAAAAGTAACAATCAAAAAATATTAACCCTGCTGTCCCACACATCAGTAATTGTAGGCGATTTTTTTCTTTTATTTTCCTGGAGCTTGGAAACCCTAGACAATTAGAGGAAACTATAGATTGTGCAGCCCCCAGGAGGACTGTGGCTGTCTTTTCCACTGGTGATGGAGGAGATGCCAGGAGGGCATGTGGTATGCTGGAAACAGATCCTGTGAGCTCTGGGTCAGTCAGGGGTTCCCTAGATGCCGCTGCCAGCTCAAGGAGCCACTGTCTTTCACAGGAGCTGGCTGTCAATCTGAGAAAGAGGTGTCAGCATCAATTTATCAGGATCAGCTATGCCCTGCATGTTCAAGCCCCTTTTCTCTCTCTCGGTCTGTTTATCCAGTGGCTTTGCATTTCCCTAAGTACTTTGGACAAACTCATTTGTACTCACATAGTCAAGTGCTGGCAGGGCCGGGGGCTGGCTCCAAGAGTGGCTCACAGCGACAGGGGTGAGCACACTAGCGAGGTACCAAGGAAAAAGATGGTCTTTATTGGTGCTTTGAATCCCCACTGTAGCTTGTGAGCCAGCCCAAGTTTCCTGCCAAAAACATGGATGCAATCTGGAAGGACTCTAACTAAGGCTGAAAGAAACCAGTCATGCCTCCTTTCCTGCTTCTCTGTGAGTGTCTCTTTTCCCTTACTTGAATCATCCTACTATCTGTCTTAGCCTGCTTGGACTGCCATAACAAAATACCATGGGCTGGATGGCTCAAACAGCAGAAATTTATTTTCCCGCCTTTCTGGAGGCTGTAAAGTCTGAGATCGGGGTCAGGTTCTGGTAAGGGCTCTTTTCCTGGCTTGCGGACAGCCACCTTCTCATTGTGTCCTCATTGGTGGAGAGAGGTGCTGGTCTTTTTTCCTCCTCTTTAAGGGCACTAATCCCATTATGGGAGTCCTATCCTCGTGAGCTCATTTAACCTTGACCATTGCCCAAAGTTTCCATCTCCAAATACCATCACATTAGGGTTAGGGCCTCAACATATGAATTTTGTGGGGAAAAAAATTCAGTCAATTTCTGGGGTCCCACTGTCTAAAAAAACACTTCCAGTTTTCTATTTGTGGAAATTTGCTCTTGGAATCAGGAGATTCTGAATACACTTGAAGTCTCTTTAGGAGACCCTTGTTGGACTGTTGTGTAGGAATGGCCTGGCCTATTGCAGCCAGGAAGCCAGCTGGCTTCCTGCCCGTGGGATAGACCTCACTGGTCCATCATGGCAGGAGGACACTCTGTAAAGATGGCATTGCTAATGCCCATTCATAGGCTGTGTGTAGATTTAGATCAGTAATGCCTACAAGGATCCCCATGCCAAGCCTGGCTGGCAGCAGGAGCTTCATAAGTGGTGGGGACCGTAACCTCCTGGGACGTGGCTGGGGACCCAGCCCCACAGTCTTCCAGGTAGTAGCTCCGTTAGTGTGTTGAGGTGCAACCAGCCTGCCTTCCCAGCTCTAACCCAGCGGATTTCCCTTCCATTTCAGGACGTCTCCTTTTACTCTTTATTCAGAAGCTAAGAAGCCCTGCCCTAGTTCCATCCTTTAGCCTCTGTGAGCTATCCTGGCTGCACCTCCCAGCCCTCAGCTAGCTTGCACTGCGGCCTCTGGAGGCTGCCGCCGGCCCTCATTGGGCATGTTGTGACCATTACCTCATATGCTCTATGTCATAGCTGTCCTTTTTCTTCCCTTGACAAGTGAGAAAGGAGAGAGAGGGGCTTTCTCAAACAAGATGGGTGCATGTTTGAAACTGGAGTTTTCATTAGGTGTCTCCCCACCAACTCTACTTTTTCTCTCTTATCATTGATTTTCACAGTCTCTCTCAGAGCAAATGGTCCTCTCTGTGTCCTGTTCCCTGAGGTCTGCTGGGGGCAGGACGCTGGGTAATCTGACAGGAGTGCCGCAAGTGTCCTCCGAGAGGACCCTTGTGACACTCCCAGGTGATGGGTTGATGCCTACCTTCCATCAGCCTCAGTATTTCTGTTTCAAGGAGTCCATCCCCTCCTTCTGGCCCCTCCCAGCCCCTTCTCCAAGCAGTTCCACTGCAATCAATAGGTCCTCATCCTCCTGAAAACTCAGGTTACAGACCCAGGTGTCCTCCAGAGTCCTTTCTTTCCTTCTCCCAAATCCATTCCACCAGCTCCGCCTCCAGAATCTACCCCGAATCCCTCTACTTCCCCACTTCCCTGTCTGTCTCCTTCCTGGCCTGTGGGCTGGAGCCCATGCTTCTCCCAGGAGGCACCTGCTGAAAGTGTGTCAGGCCAGGGAGCCCTCCAATTCCCAGGATCTCCTCCTGCATTTGGCCTGGCTTGGTTGCATTACCTGCCATTCAGAGGATATGGATTTTCTGGGAAATGAACCCCACACTTTACCTGACTGTATGGATTGAGGTCATGCAGACGCTGCCTCTGTCAACTGCTGTAGTTTCCTGCAAACTTACAGGTTCACTTCCACAGCCCAGGGTGCCAAGACATTTCATGCATGGGGCTTTCAAAATGTGGCTAAAACACTCTAGGTTTTTTTTTTTCCCTCTTCCTAAAGAGGAGGAAAGGATTTAAAACTTATAAAAGGAATATGTTGTCAAGAGTGTATTAGGCACCAGCCAAAGAGATTTAGAGGTAGAAAACCTAACTTGTTTTAGTTTTAGAAAAATAGATTTTAAAATTTAATTCCTAAGATAACAGTTTAGGGAAAAACATGTACCATTTGGGTTGCTTCCATTTCCCATGTTGGAATTAGTAATGCAATTTGCAGTGCCCGTGATGATTCTGTAGAGAAGTGAGCTGAGTCATCAGGGTGTGAATCACCTTCCCAGGATAAATTATGATTCTCCAAATGAAAAGCACTTCACATGTCAGATGAGACTAGTGAAATTCATCTGTCCTGATGCCAGAGCATGTTAGCTGGTCCGAGCTGCTAGAATTGATCAAGTACCATTTCACAAAGTTAATACCAGGTCGTTCATACATGTGGGGAATGAACAGAGAGCTCATCTAGATGCAGTGGCCCCAGGGAAAAAAAAAAAGCCCACTCTAACCTTGCCTAAGCAAAAAAGGCACTTATTGGCTGCTGTCATTCAAGAGTTTAGGGTGCAGCAGGCTTCAGGTCTGGGTGTGCAGGACCTGGTCTCTCCCATCTCTCTACTCTGCCTCCTTCCCCCAACCTGGTCCTAAAATTTTGGCTTCACTCACCAGCTCATGGCTATGTGGCTCCAGGCTTCCATCCTCCAGATTCCATAGCATCAGAAAAGAGTCCTTTTCTTTCACAATAGCTCAGCCTTGTATCCTGGCTTGCACTCCAGGTGGACCCAACCAGATCACGAATCCATCCTGAGAGCTCCCAACTCATCCTAAAGCTGGGGGTGCTGTCAACATCATCCACAAACCACTTGGACAGATTGTAGGGGAGGAGGGCTCCCCAGGTGAAGATTAGGGTTGTATAGCTAGGACAGGAAAGGAACTCTGACCTGCAGACACAGCAAATGTCCCTACGTTCAAGTTCTTCTGTCTTTGCAGTCAGTCACCCTGCTCCTTCCAAATGGCTGTGCTCAAGCTACTCTGCCTCTTCCTGTTTCTTTTCCTTCTCCTTCTCATCCTCATCCTTTTTCTCTTCCTCTTCCTCTTTGTCAGGGATACTTTTCCAGGGTTCACAGAAGACTAGGCAGGCTGGGCATGGTGGCTCATGCCTGTAATCCCAGCCTTTCAGGAGGCTGAAGTGGGAGGATTTCTTGAGCTCAGTAGTTTGAGACCAGACTGGGCAACATAATAAAACTTCGTCTCTACTAGAAATTAAAAAAAGATAGCCAGGTGTGGTAGTGTGTGCCTGTGGTCCCTAGTCCCAGCTACTCAGGAGGCTGAGGCAGGAGGATTGCTTGAGCCTGGGAGTTTAACAGTGCTATGTGAGCTATGATCATGCCACCGCCTTCCAGCCTGGGTGAAAAAGTGGGATCCTGTCTCTTAAAAAAAAAAACCAAACTAAAAACCCACAAAAGACCAAGCAAAGGGCTTGGTGGTTGACTCACTGAATCCTCATGGCCACCATATGAAGCACTATTAGGCATTAGGCAGCTTGGGTTTCAGCCTCAGTCCTTCCCATGTTCTGAGGGTGTGGCCTTGGGTAAGACACTTTCCCTCCATGAATCCCAGTTTCCAGAATTAAATTGTGATGATGATGGTTTCTCTCCAGGGTTGTTGTGAGAGTCAACAAGCTTGTGTGTGTGTAGCTCAGTAAGCAAGTACTCTCACCATTCATTTATCAGATGAGGAAGCCGAGGCTACTATGTCTTTGTCCAAGATCCTCCAGTCAGTGAGTAGCTGACCTGGTATTAGAACCCCGGGCGCTCATCCCAAGCTGCGTGCCTGCTCGTTCTGCAGCATTGCCTCTTCCATTCTGCCTTCCTGAAAGGAAACACTGTTTCTCATGGCAGGACTCACCTCACAGACAGGGGTCAGCATCGAGGGTCATTGCACATGCACTTGTTACATGTCTTCTCCCTCAGGCCCCAAGCTAGATCATGAGAGGATAAAGCAGAATCATTCTGTGTTTCAGAGCACATTCACTTGATGGGGGGGATCTGGGAGGCCTGAGGATAGAGGACTGACTTTCTGTGGACTTGGGAGGGCCTCTCCAGGAGAGTGACTCATGAGCCACGTCGGCAGAGAGAAACAAGCTCACCAGGCAGTGAAGAGGAAGAGCAAAGAAGCGCGCCACTTGCAGGGCTTACGTAAAGCACAGGGAGATGAACAGCTGCTTCCTGAGGCGTTTGGCCATGGATTTAATTGCCTTTAGATTGTTGGTTGTTGCTAATGATGGTTTGTATTGTCCTTGTTTCCAGTGTGGAATAATTTATTGGCTATTTGGTGGTGCGATCAGGAATCTTGGCAGCCCCGAACATGTTACTAAGTGGTTTCAGCCACTCCAGGTATGATGTTTTCCTCAATATTGGTCTTCTATGGAGAGCCTTAAAAATATGTAGTAGATAGATATGCATATGCATATGTTTGAAGAAAAACAAAATAAAACAGAATTTGTGTCATCAAAAATCTTGTTGAGAATGAAAATTCCAAGACTGTCTTTTTTATATTGCATTGAGCCTGTCATGTTGTTAAACTCACATTCGCTATCATCAGACTGTGTTTTAATAATTTTCTCCCACCCACGTCTCTCTCTCACCATCTTTCTTAATGGTATGGGAGGTCTGCATTTGGAGCAACTGTCAGACCAGCTAATTCCCTTCTAACATCTGGTAAACTACAGGAGCAGAAATACACTGGGATGTTTGCAATGACCGAGAGGGGCCATGGGAGCAACGTGAGAGGGATCCAGACCGAAGCCACCTTTGACCTCTCTGCCCAGGTGAGGAATCTGTCCTTCTCCTGCCATCCAGGGCAGCAGAAAACCTGGACTGAACCAGATCTCCTTCTTTCTGTGTCCAGCTTCACACTCTGTGTGTGCTTTCTGGCCAAGAGAGCTGAGATTCAGAGTAAATGACTATGTGTTTTAATAGAGGTGGATATGTGCTCAGCCATCATGAACCCAACACCAGCCAACATTTATATGGTACGTTTGAGGCACTGGACACTGCTCCGACACTTTATGTGCACTTGTGAATGTAATCCCTTGTCATAACTCCTAGAGAAGAACACGAAAGCCATTTGGTTAGCCTTTCTTAACAGCAGCAGGAAAGGACTGGAGGAGAAGCCTGTGTTGGTTCTCTCCGTTGTGCCATGTGTCAGGAGGGCACTGACTGTGCTGGGGCTGCCTTAGCAGGAGCTGAGTCGTCTGTACTGGGATCATGTGCTGTCCCTCACCTTGACCTGCACTGATATTTTACATGACAACAGAAACAAGAGTGGCACCAAACAATCTGATTATTCCACTTTTACTACGTGTGGTCCGTGCTACGGTTTTTCCTTTTCATTCTTTTCTTTCTCTTCCTTTCCCTTTCTTTTTCTTTTCTTTGTTTTTCTTCCTTTCCCTTCCCTTCCCTTCCTGATAATTAAAAAGATGTTAACTAAGTCTCTCTACATTATCATCTGTGTCCATAGTGGCTCACAACGTATCGTGGGGACGCTGCTCTGTGACCCTCATGCCCATCTCTTTAACTCCTACACCCACCTCCTGCCCCACTGCCAACGTGGAAAAAGAAAGCACCTGTGTACTTATCTCACTCTTCTTTATAGTTTCTGGCTTAATATTGGGTGTTCCTAAGAATTACAAAGGGATAAATACATGTTGAGGTTCTTTCCAGAAATGAGGCTGTGTCAGTCTGTGTGTGCAAGCACGTGCCTGAGCATGGCTGCAGGTGCTGCCTGGCTATGCGGCGGCTCCGCTCCGTCTATTCTTTGTTTTTGCAGTTTGTCCTTGAGTGTGTGGATTTTTGTTAGCAGAGTTTCCTGACCCGCGAATGCTGGTTCGAGGCGGCCAGTGTCTGGAATGACAGACTCAGGGGCAGGGTTTACTGGAGGATGCCCTTCTTTTCCTCCTGCCCTGATGTGAGTTCTCTCCAAAAGCCATGATGTCCAAGATCATAGTAAGAACAAGAATAAGCACTGCCCTACACTGACCACTCGCGAAGCACCATGCTCTGTGTGAAACTCCCTCTGTGTAGTATTCTGTTTCCTTGCAGCAACAGTCCCAGAAACGCAACATTAAACTGATCCTGTTAACTGAGCATGGATATGCCAGGCACCAGGCTAAGCAGTCCATGTATAACATCATTTCAAATGTTCTGTGGTCTTATAAAAAGGTATTATTGTCCCTACTTTACAGATGGGGAAACGGAGACTCATAGAGGTTAAGCAGCCAACTCTGGCTATGCAGTTAATGAGTAAGTTAGGTTCAGGTGGGACTGCCCTCAGCGGCTTGGCTTTTCTGCCAGTGGCGGCATGCTGACCTAACATCCTTTGGCTTTTGGCTGGCCAATTTTTTTCCCTCTCCCAAAGCCATGGTATTGAGGTCACCTTGCTGTCATTGATGGGGGAAAACACCCACTGCTCTTATTTATTTGTTTCTTTTTACAATGATTGCTTTTTTCACAAAAATAATTTCCTGTGTTGGTCCCATTTTCCCCAAACAGCATAAATGACTTAGCTACCTAGTGTGCCTCAGCAGCTGCCACTGCCTGACAGGGGACCTGCAAAGTCTCAATCATAATGACGAGGGGCCTCTGGTGAGCACTGTCTCCCGTGGGGCTGGGAGAGAGAACAATCCCATCATAAACTCATGCCACCGAGAACTGACATAGCAGGGAATGGATTTCTCCCTTCATTGGGTTCTGTATTTTCCCCTTCATTTCCCTTTCAAAATGCTGGAGTGTATTAAATAAGTGTTCTCTCCCCCAGGGATCATTTAAACCTCTTATATATTTTGGTTTTTCATTCCTGTGGGTTGGTTGTTTTACATTTATTTTTGGGAGGTAGATTGGGAGTAGTATGGATAGTTTAGACATAAGAGACAGTTTTATTTTTATGCTTTATTCTAAATAGCCTAAATAAATGAGGTTATGAACTCTCTGGCCAAAGGCATCATTTTCAGTGCCTACAACACTGACCATTTTGCTGGGCTTCAGCAAATAATTACTACAGAAACTGACACACGTAGTGTGCATTATTTAGATGCAGCTTTTAACACCAGGGTTTTGGCTGATGCAAACTTTCCAAAGCAAGCATTTTGCCAGAAATGACAAATCTCCTTTCCCTGGGTGTAGCAGATGTTTATAGGGACGGGTGGACTTTGCTCCCTTCCCCATCCCACCACATCTTTTCTGCCAGGCCAGTGTTTCCTCTACCACTTTCCTTTCTTACCTGGGTAAGAAAGCATGCCCCCCACCCACATGGGTTGTATTTTTGTTACTGTTAATTTTCACTGCACTCAGCCTCAAGTAATGCCTCTCCTTAAGAAGCCCTGGCTGCCCTGATGAGACAAGGATGGTCTCCAGAGTCTTCTCTTAAAAAGATTCAGCGTGTCCATTTATGTTTCTGAAAGGCCCTTGCACATGTTAGAAGTTTCCCTGTGCAAACATATTTCAGAGAATGTTTTCTTAGGCTTCAAGACTGTATTTCTTGGCCAGCAGGAATGTGTTGTCTATATACTTTATAGTCTGAAATCTGAGATAATCTTTGCATGATCAATAACTTGTTGATTTAGTTCAGTCACATCTTCAATATTGTCAACTCCAATTAAATGTGCAGTTCCACTCTCTACCATTTCCTCTGGGCTCCCACATTGCCCCAGGTGCCCTGTATTCAGAGCTGGCAGCAGGGCCAGTTCCTTTTTGGCAAGAGGCTTAAAGGTAACCCACGTGGCAAGGGAGATTGGGAAGAGCCAAGAAGTGAGGGGGGCCATTTCCACTGTGACCTATGTTTCGGCTTCCAGAGCGTAGGAAAGAGAAGACGGAGTTTTGAGCCAAGCCTGAGAACAAAATCCTTGCATTTTCTTCCTGCAGCATTATGACCAGTGTTAGTTTCTGACTGTTTTGAGCTGGAATTCTTGGACATATTCAGAAACAAACTGCATGGTACATTCTAAAATTTTTCCCTCTTAAGAAAGAGACTCATTTACAAGTTCTTCTGTTTTAGGAGCTTGAACATGTGAACCTCTTTTGGGAAAGTTTAATTATGGTATACATTGGTCAGGAAAATCGAGAGGCTTTTTCAAAGGAGTAAATGAGGGATTTCTTATTATAAAAATAAAAATTGTTTGGGCTGATACTCTAAGCAATGGTGGAAATAAGTCATGGCTGTCTATCAATCTTGCTGTGTCCACGCATACAGTTTTGGCCTTTGATTACTTGGTTTTCATTTAAACAAAGACCCATGTCATGGAGGCAGGAAGGTTCGGAGCCTGGGAAAGAGTGAGGAGCCAAGAGATTTGCCCAGAAGGAGTGAACACCAGTAGACAAAATGCAACTCACAGATCGGGACCCTGGGACAAGCCATCTAAGGGTCCAGATCATTGGATGTTCCATCCTTTCTTAGAAGTCTTGCAGGTCGGGTGAGGGGTGTGGAGAGCTGAGCATAGACCACCAGGGCTTTCTGAGGTTTTGGTGTTAGATGATTTGAAGGTCAAAACTTTGCTATGAAGAAGTCTAGAGAGGTAATTGAAGAAAGACTTTGTACATTAAAGCCAGGCAGGCTCAGCCAAATAGCACACATGTCAGCCCGGTATTATAAAGAAGAGAGACTGGGAGGGAGAGAACAAACACCTTTTAAAGATTGAAAATTGGCAACTTGTTTTCTGGACTGGATTGTTCCTTGAAAAATCACTTTAATCTCCAGCCATTTTCAAAGTTGCGGTGGAGGTGAAATAAGTGAATTGAGATGATAGCACAGCCAGCCGCCTTGGTTTCAAGACCTGGAGCCAGGTGACCTTCCCGTTGTCTTCTCTTTTGCTGTGAAATTCCCTGAAAACGGCACCCTGGACAGTGTGGGTCTGTTTTCACAGTATTCATTGCCTTGAGCCAGAGAGTTGAAATGATCCATGGGAAAGGAAACACTGTTGCTCTGCTGTTTCTGTGTAGGAGTTTGTAATTGACAGGCCGTGTGAAGATGCCGAGAAGATGTATATTGGAAACGCCATGTATGGAAATTATGCAGCTGTCTTTGCCCAGCTAATCATAGATGGAAGATCTCAAGGTTTGTCACTAACATAGACAACTAGAATAATTATCTTCACTAATACTATTTACCAAAGTTGCTTTTATCTTGTAAATAATTCAGTACTAACTTTATCTCCTAAATATGCATGAAGAAATTTATCTGACATTATATGCTCTCATGTGTGTTGCACAGTTGTAGAACTGAATGAGTCTGAGGATCACAGAAATTTTATACCATTCCAGGAAATGAGTAAAGCTATAGGAAGGAGAGCTCAGTAATGATCTCTGTGTCTTCCTTAGGGCCCCACTGTTTCATCGTTCCTGTCCGGGATGAAAATGGAAGCTTGTACCCAGGAGTGACAACTATCGATATGACATACAAGGAGGGTGAGTTCCCAGGTGACCCCTCTCCTGTGCTCACTCTTTCTACCTGCTTCCCACCCTACTCAAGGACACTCTGACCTACCTTATATCACTGAAACAGTGAGCGTGGAGAAAACTTACCCAGGGAAGATGTCTGGATTTTGAAGCCTCATGAAGTCTTTTATGTAGAACTGTTCAGGAATGTTGCAGATTGCCTTTTATGAATGTGCATTGGTCTAGTTTTCCCCCACCTTCTCAAATTTCCCAGTAATGAGGCAGTTTTGCCCACAACACTGTTCTATCTTCTCTCTCCTTAGACTTGGGGGCTCTCAGAGGGGTGGCTGCAGCTCTCTTCTTTGCACCCCTGGCCACCTATTTTAGGAGCTTAAACATATGTGCTTATGAGGCCCTTGATGAGTCCTGTTGACTAATTCAGTGACTTAGTTTGCTAGGGCTGCCATAACTGGGGGGCTTAAACAATAGAAGTGTATTGTCTCACAGTTCTGGAGGCTGGAAGTCCAAGACAAAGGTATCAGCAGGGTTGGTTCTTTCTAAGAGTGGTGAGGGAAGGATTTGTTCCAGGTCTCTCTCTTTGGCTTGTAAATGGTTGTCTTCATGTTAACCTGATGTTCTCCCTCTGTGCATATCTGTCTCCAAATTGCCCCATCTTACAAAAGACAGAAGTCATTTAGATTAGAGCCCACCCCAGTGACCTCATTTTAATTTGACCACATCTGTAAAGACTCTATCTTCAAATAAGGTCACATACACAGGTATAAGGGTTAGGTTTTTAACATATGAATTTTGTGGGGACACAATTTTACCCATAGTGCTTGATGAGATCAGGACATGCCTGTATGTTCCAATGACTACTCATAGCCAAAGTCAAGCCAAGCCAAGGAAGGGAGTCTGAGAGAGAAGAAAAAAAAAGAGAAGGAAGAGCAGAAAGAGAAGAGGAAAGAAGTGGCCCATCCTTTGTTGGAAGGGACGGTCCCATCCTGGCCCTTAGTGTTTACTGCCCACTGCCACAGCTGCAGGCATGGCTGCAGGTGGGTTTGTGAGGGTTTTAGATGTATCTTCCAGGGGTGACTGAGGCCTTGGCTGGGCTGGGCTCCTTAAAAGTGCCTTGCACGTCAAATGTTGCTGAGAGCAGAGCAGTAGGCCAAGCTCTGTGAAGTTGTGCTAGACGTTGAAAACACTGGCAACAGCAGAAAGTCTCTGGTGTCCTTGTAAGCTGCTAAATGCAAGTATGTCCTTGTCAAGGGGTGAAGTTCTAAAGAAAGACATTTACTAAAGACAGATTCTTTTCCCCTAGATTCGATCTCTGTTAAGTTTTCACAAACAAAGAGAAGACCCCAGACTCTGGCAGCTGTCTTTAGGAAATGTGTCTGCCAGATTTCAGGACCACCCCCTACCCACCCCATCCCCCTACCCCCGCATCACTTCCCCCACTTCCTGCTGTCTGGGCTCTTTTCTCTTGTCTTGTAGGCATTTGCTGTCACCAGTTTGCCCTGTGTGCAGATGAGAGAACCCTGGGAGGGAGGAGGGATTTGGGCACTTGTTCCCCATTCCTGGGGAGAGCAAGCCTGCTTCCCTGCTTCTGTCTTCAGCTTCCCATTCTTTCAGTTGCTTGGAACTCCCCCTTTCTTAATCACAGTCACTGCTCGGGAGGTAGATGTGCATCCTCCATATCCCCAAATCACGCAGGCTGCACAGAAGGAAAGCCCATTCTCCATTCTTCTCATTCTTGCTAGAGAGGAAAGGGCCAGGCTGGTGGAAGAAACAGGTATAGCTCATCAAGGAAACAACATCCCCATGCCCACCCAAAAGGAAAAAGCACCAACAATTCTGAAAGTAAAATAAAGGGCTTTGTATTTTAGTGGAGACAGATGTGGAAAGTAGTAGGGAAAATATTTCTGATGCTGCATAGATTCCCCCTTTCTGTTCTTTCCAGGTCTGCATGGTGTGGACAATGGGATTTTAATATTTCACAAGGTTCGGATACCCAGGAAGAACCTGCTGGATAAGTGAGTAGTTTCGCCTTAACTCAGGTCTATGGTGCAGATGATCTCACTGCTCTCCAAAGTTGGCTTTGTTCTTGGGTCTCATGGGCTGCATGTTTGGGCTGTTTTCCTGTAACCACCCTTACAGGTTTGTTGACAACTAATTGGAAAAGATAGATCTGCAGACAGAAAAAAATGTAAAATTATTCAACATGCTATTGTCCAGATATAATGACTGTTACATTTTAATATACATCTTTCCAGACTTTTCTCTATGCCTATATGTCTAAAGAGATGTCAGATTTTTACTAAACAAGAGCCACTTCTAGATTCTATTTGTAAAATAATCCATTATTTCCATTTAACATTATATAGCAAATGTTTTTATCAAACGCTAAGAACACACATGCATTATTATCTTTAGTACTACTATGATAGACTGTTAAATAAATGCTTTACAAGTTACATCATCAATTTCTTATTGTTGGGCATTTAGGTTTTTTCCTTTTTTTTCTGCCAATTATAAACAGATGGGTGCTATTGCTTCCTTTGTGAGTGGTAGGGGATAAGGCACTATCTTTCAGCTCCCAGGTGTGTTCTGGAAGTGGAGCTCTAGGGGTTAATGATGTTCCCTTACTGAAGCTAAGAAACACCAGGTACCTTTAATTTTCTCAGCAGCGTTTCACACATCCAATAAAAATCCTGTGCCATAGTCATGTTAAATCGGTGACAAAGCCCCAATCAGGGTGCACACAACCAGCTGTCTTCCTGCCTCCCTATGGATTTTCCTTGAATGGATTTTACTCTTTTTTTTTGTTACCAGTAGATAAATGTTGTAGTGGATGCCAAAAGCTTAAGAAAATTGTATGGGAAAAAGTCTTAAAATGATTGGTACAACAAACCCCCATGACACAACTTTACCTGTGTAACAAACCTGTACTTGTACCTCTGAACTTAAAATAAAAGTTAAAAAAATGGAGGATGAAGGAGTAGAGGATAGAATAGTGGTTACCATAGCTGGGGAAGGTAGGAAGGAAGAGGGGACAGGGAGAGGTTGGTCAGTGGATACTGTTATAGTTGGATTGAAGAAGTAAGTTCTGGTGTGATACCGGACGGGTGATACAGGTAACAATAATGCGTTGTATTTTTCAAAATAGTTACAAGTTTTGAATGTCCTCATTTCAAAAAAACAATAAATGTTTCAGATGATCAATATGACAATTACCCTGATTATATTATTATACAATATATACACATATCAAAACATTATACTATACTCCATCATGTATAATTATTATATGTGAATTAAAAATAAAATAAAGCAAAAAGGAAAAGAAAAAAATTTGTTTTTAAGTTTAATGAGGAAAGAATAGTGTTTTGGACACACGGTGCTTGGACAAACTAGATAGCCATGTGCAAGAGCATGAAGTTGGACCTTTACTTCACACCATTTACAAAAGTCAACTCAAAATGGATCACAGACCTAAATGTAAGAGCTAAAACTACACAACGCTTTGAATAAAATACAGGTGTACGTTTTTGTGACCTTGGTTGAAGCGATTTAGTTAACCAAATTCTGCTTCACATTTTCCTCCTGTGAATTGATAGGAAATAAAATAGAAACAGTAAAAGCATCTTCACAGTTATCCTGGTGGGTGCTAAAGCCCCCCAGCTCCCATCAGAACCACCAGCATTTATATGGAAATACAAGAAACTCAGAATAGCCAAAACAATCTTGATAAAGAAGAACAAAGTAGGAGGACTGACACCTGTGATTTGAAAACTTACTACGAAGTAATCAAGACAGTGTGGTATTTGCATAAGGATTGATGTATGGACGTTGGAATAGAATGAAGAGTGTAGAAATAAATCCTTATAATTACTGTCAATTAATATTCCACTGCAAAGCCAAGACAATTCCATGGGGAAAGAAGAGTCTTTTCCACAAATGGTGCTGGGACAAACTGGCTAGCCATGTGCAAAAACATGAATCTGGACCTTTACTTCATACCATATACAAAAATCAACTCAAAATGGATCACAGACCTAAATGTAAGAGCTTAGAAGAAAATACAGGTATAAATTTTTGTGACCTTGGTTTAAACAATCTATTACATGTGGCACCATAAGCACAACTAACCAAATTAAAAATATAGTGGGCTTCATCAAAGTTATAAAAATACTTTTTTGCATCGAAGAACACTATGAATAAGGTGAAAACCTACAAATATATCTGATTTATAAATCATATATATTAATATCATAAGGCTGTAGTATCCAGAATATAGAAAGAACTATTACAGCTCAAGAGTTAAAAAGGCAAATAACTCAATTTTAAAATGACTAAAAACCTGAATAGACATTTCTCTAAAGATTTACAAATGACTGCTAAGCATTTGAAAAGATGCTCAACATCACTGCCATTAGGAAGAGACAAATCAAAACCACCACGAATGCCACTCTGCACCTAAGATGTCTTTTTTTTTTTTTTTTGAGATGGAGTCTTGCTCTGTTTCCCAGGCTGGAGTGCAATGGTGCGATCTTAGCTCACTGCAACCTCTGCCTCCTGGATTCAAGCAATTCTTTTGCCTCAGCCTCCCGAGTAGCTGGGATTATAGGCATGCAACACCATGCCTGGCTAATTTTTGTATTTTTAGTAGAGATGGGATTTCTCCATGTTAGCCAGGCTGGTCTTGAACTCCTGACTTCAGGTGATCCACCCACCTCGGCCTCCCAAAGTGCTAGGATTACAGATGTGAGCCACCACACACGGCCAATGTCTCTTATTAAAGGGACAGACAATAACAAGTATTGGGGAGGATGGAGCAGCTAGGACTGTTGGTTATACATTGCTGGTGGGGCTGCACAATGGTGGCATCAACTAGGAAAACAGTTTGGCCATTCCTCAAAAGTGTAAAGTTAATCATTTTATGACCCAGCAATTCTACTCCTAGGTACGCGTAAACATTGTCTACAAGAGAATTGTAAATACATATCCACACAAAAACTGCTACACAAATGTCCATAGCATAATTATTCACAATAGCAAAAAGGGGAAAATAGTCCAAATATCCATCAACTGAGGAAATAGGAAAGAAAACATGGCATATCCGTACGATGGAATATTATTCAACCATGAAAAGAATTGAAGTACTGACACATGCTATGACATAGACGAACCCTGAAAACATTATGCCAAGTGAAAGAAGCCAGACATCAAGACCACATCTGATATGTGAATTTTTTTTCCCAGAACAGGCACCGTAGAGAAAGTAGGTTAATGGTTGTCAAGGGCTGGAGGGAGAGGAGTATGAGGAGGGACTGCTAGGAGGGTGGGGTTTCTTTTTGGGGTGATAAAATGATTCGGAATAGGATCATGGTGATGGTTGTACAATTTTGTGGCTATAAGAAAATCCATTGAATTGTATACTTTGAAGGGAAAAAAATTATGGTATGTGAATTACATCTCAGTTTTAAAAAAATGGGTCAGTGTGCGGTCTCCACAGTCAGGCTCTGGTGCGGGTTTAATGTCTCAGGAAACCACTACCTCCCATGAGTCAAGCCTTTCTCAGCATCTCTTGGAGGGGACTCCCCCTGTTCTTATCTGCTTTCTGTCTCAAGGGGGAAGTTCCAGGATGGGGAAATCCTAGCGCTTCCCTGTGTGCACATGGGAGCCACCTGACTTCTTTTCTAGTGGTGCTCTGTCCTGCTTTTTTGTGAAACCCTACCTTTCTTTTTCACAGGTTTGGTTCCGTGGCTCCAGATGGCCAGTGCCGTTCTCCTATCAGGAATAAGAGCGCAAGATTCAATGCCATGCTGGCAGCACTGACCCCTTTGAGAATAGCTGTGGTTTTCCAAGCTATGGGTGTCATGGAGGTAGCTGACTCTGATTTGAATTTATCTACTGTTAATTCTCTCATGGCTCAGGAATGAGTAACAATTTCAGGAGCTGAGCTTCTCGAGCCACGATTGGTATAATATGGCCAGGGTTCCTGGTTAGATGCTGAGGAGTGCCAGGTGTCCATCCACAGGGAATATTTCTACGCCCTTCTTAAGAGGGGGTCACACCCATCTGGATCCCAGATGTGTGCTGCTAATCAAGGGGGTGGAGCACAGGCGTTGTGCAGGAGAGATGACCAGGGAGAACGGGATGTTCAGAGCAAATGCATTTGCTGGAGAAGCAGCTAAGGGCTGGCCCGTGTGGGCAGAGGTCGGCATGTCTTGGCTGAGTTCACCTAGGAGTGTTGATCCTCTTGTGTCTGTATAGGGTGTAACGTTTTCCATCACAGTCTGGAGGCAATGAGGCCAGACCTCCAGGAGCCATCTCTGCCTCCCCAACCCTGACTCTCCCATAAATTGGTTCGGACAGAGGAGCCTGGAGAGCAAAGCTCTGGAAGGGCCTCCTTCTCCGCTCTAGGGCCCCAGGCTACTTTTTTCTCTGGGCCTTCTCTGTCTCTGCATGAAGGAAAAGCCTGCTTTCAGTAAGTTCCACTGAGCTTGGTGAAGCTGGAAGAAAAATTAAGACTCCCCAGGAATATACATCTGGGGCGTGAGTCCAGCTTTTCCATCAAGAAGGAATAAATTTCATTCACCTGACTTTAGGCCTGACATCAGCCCACAGTCATCTGAATAGCAGGAAAATCTTTCTTTACTCGCTTCGAGGTCGGCCACGCTTCACAGACAGTCTGCCCTGACCCGGGCTTCCCCTTACGGTGGTGTTTCCTGCAAGGGGCCACAGCTGTGGCCATCAACATGTGTACTCGGGCCTGACTTCATGCCCGCTGGTGCACCCCAGTTCCTGTGCTTGTTTTGTGGTGGCTCTTTAAGTGGGGCCGGGTGGGTTTTCTGAAGTCCCACGTCAGGAGGGGCCCAGGTCCCTTGGCTGAACTGTCTGATATTGAGTGAGACCCCAGAGAGCCTTGTGGTGAAGGTACCAGCACAGACAGCATCAGAGTGCCGAGGAAAACTGGTTCCTCAGGTCTGCAATAGAAGCCGTTTCAGCCATCCTCAGGACTCCAGAGAGAGGCCAAAGTAGGAAAGCCAGGCAAGCCTAGAACCGCATGAAAGGGAAGATTGGTTAAACGTCGGATGCAGGTTTAGCTGAAGCCATGATAGCAGTCTCTGCACAGTATCCCCTCTAACTGCAGGAGCCTGTAGACCGTCCTGACTGAGGGGCCCTCTGAGGAGAGTGCTGGCTGTGTCTCAAAAACACATGGTGGTCAGCGGCCAGGGAGGCTGCTAGGAAACCCTGCGCTCTTGCTGGTTTTGGAGGGGGCGAAGATGCATGAAGGACGTCCAAGCCACCAGCAGCTCTGCAGGCTCATTGAGGTCCAAGGTGGGGTTGTGTGGGGCAAGGCATGGGGTGGTGCAGATCAGACCAGGCAGGGATGGGGGCCTTCGGGGAGGGCCTTGGTTTTAAATATCACCAGATCTGGAGTGGGTGGGGGTGATGTCTCAGGGAGAGGAATCAGAATGGTGATTTTGAAAAGGTTCGTGTTCTCCATTCTACTGAACATCATCACAGGCCAGCCCCTGCCAGGCCCAGCAGGGTCTTAGGGGCCACATTTGCATCAGTTTCTTTACTGGTTGTCTGACGTGCAGATTTCATTCCTGGCAACATGGAGGCGTGATCATGATTACGGGCAGGAAAGCTTTGGGCTCAAGTCTCATCCTGGCCATGACCAGCAGTGGGGCCATGGACAGGCCATAGCGCTCTCTAGGCCTCAGTTTCTTCATCTGTGAAATGAGTCTTAGGATGGTGGTGAGGCATGAGTGAAGAATGTGTGTGCAGTGCTGGTCCAGAGCAATGCTCCATAGCTCATGGCTATTATTCGTGTTGCTGTCGTTGGTGCTGCTGCTGCTGCCGTTGCTATTACTGGGAAGACAGGAGTTGGCTAAAGGAAGGGAAGACGTGGGCTTTCCCATGAAAAAAAATGCCTGGTATCCTGGCCTCCAGGTAACAAGGCAATATGCAATGTTTTGCAGAGGTGCATAGCGTCCTTTGAATTCCCAGGTGTCTGAAGCAAACCGTAGTAACCCGGAATCAGCACCAGCCCTGCCCATTAAGACCTTGCCAGGCGATGGGATTGTCAGGCAGTGGGAAGACCCTGCACAGAGCCCAGCAAGGCTGAGACTCTGCCTGGTCCAGGCACCCTGCTGACCACGACCCGCGCTGCTGTGATCTCATCTCCAGCATCTCTGGTGAGGATGATCTCACCGGCCCTCTTGGCAGCTCTTCCTCTCCTATGGCTCAGACACATGACATATGTTTTCCCGGCTGAAACCTAAGATGGTCCTTCTCCTTCTGCTCTTGCTGAAGAGTGGAAAAACGGATCCCTTTCTCCTATATGCATTCCTTGTGTATTAGAAAACTGTCACCGCGGCTCCCCACAGTGACATTCACTTAAGGCTGAGCGTGCCCAGTCATTTTAAACTTTGCCCAAATGTCTTATTTTTCGTGGTTATCTTTCATTTTCACAGCATTCCTCAGAACTTTTGGGTTTTCTCTTAAAGCTTTGACATACTGATCATCATCTAATTTGTGTCAGAAATACCAGGACAAATGAAATGATTAGCAAGAGCAGGAGGAAAAGGGAGTGAACGTGTTTGGGAGGGCTGGGAGTGGGGGCTTGGGAGACCCCTGCAGCCTGTGCCAGGAGGCTGGGAAGCCTTTTCAGAAGGAGGAGGAAGCTGGGGTGCCTGAGGGAGTGAGAAATGTAAATGAGGTCTAGCCCATTCTCTGGGGTTGATTTTGCACAGAGGTAAATATTTTAGCTAAGACAAGCTAATCCAGCAAATTGGGTGCTGCACGGTAGCTGGGTCCCACCGCCATGACGTATGATTCCACAGCTCTGGGATGGGGTGGAGAATCTGTATTTCTGGGTTCCCAGGTGGCACAGCTGCTGTGGGCTCTGCTCCTTAAGACTCCTGCAGAGAACACATGGATATGGTTGTGAAACCCCAGCACTGTCTCAGCCCCCTGGTCACCCTCTGGGCCTCCAGGATCAAGGCCCAAGTTCTGTTCCTGTATCCAGGATCCTTCGTGACCCTCACTGCACCCCCTCTCTCCATTGTCCTCTGTCCCTCTGGCCTCATTTCCGTCTTTCCCCTGTGTCACTGTAGGAGGGGGCTCACACGTGCTGCCATCCTGCTGGGGAGGCCCCCCTTTTTTATGTGCATTTCAGAGCTTGTATGACTGTCCTTTCTTCACAAAGGCCTCTGTCTGTATGTGGTTCCTCTGCCACCTGTTCCCAAGGCACTGGACTCCCCGCTTATAGCATTGATTACAACTCGTGTGTAACAACTCATGTGTAATAGGTGGGTTCTGTCTCCTTCACTAGCCTAAAAGCTCCACGCAACCAGGGCCCTGCCAGCCTCATCCACTGCTGTGTGTTCAGCTTCACACACAGAGCTGGGCACATAGTCGATACGTAGCACATAGGAGTTGAAAGAGTGAATGAGGTCTGAATCAGGATTCACATCCAAAGCCCCTGGTGTAGCTCTTAGTAGAGGGAAGCCCTCAGTACGTGTTGGTTCTTGTGCTCCCACATCCCAACCCCCCTGCCAGTTCCATGTTGTGGGAAGGAGGATGTTGCTGCGTCTTTGATCTAACTCCATTTGGCCCTTCTGTCCAGAACCAGGAGTCTCCTTTCTTTCTTCCTCTCTGTCCCAGACACTGCTCCCCACAGTATGTGCTTCAGGTTTCCTCACTCGTGCACTGTACTGTCAGCAGGCACTAGGGTCATGCTCACCTACACTTGGCAGGGTGGCCCTGGTGGTCTGGGAGTGTGCTCAGGGCTGGGGCTGCAGAGTCACAGGCAGCAGCTGAGCTGCGGGGCCGCACGCCGAGTGCAACCAGCATTCTGGGCTGTCTTTTCAGGCATGTGGGTGCTGGGCGGCAGGCACACTCAGGCAGTCCTGAGAGCCTGAACGACCATCTCCAAGTTGTACAGGGTGCCACATGTGAGTTGGGGTAGCTCTTCCCATCCTCAGGAGCTGCAGGGAGAGCAAAGGGAAGAAACTGGCTTCAGGGGATTCTCAGAACCGGCGATAGACACGCAATTTTTCCCTATAGGGTGCATTATTGGGTATGAGTGACAGGTCCCAGCAAGGCATGGGAAAGTCTCTCCTGCTGTTGATGGGGGTTTGCAATGGGATACTGTGTCCTTGAGTAACCTTTTTGTGACCACCTGACTGCAAGGGTTCATGGACGATTCCAGCAATGAAGAGGAGGTTGAGGGCATCCAAGTTGCCTTGAGAGCCAGCAGGGGTTGATCGGTGGCCAGCATGGGCCCTTCTCACCACACAGGGAGTAGCGGTGTGGCTCTGTGGGCCTATGCTGTGTTGAGTGGGCACAGCAGGCTGCATACTGCCGCTGCTGTGGGGTCTTGCTTGGGGTTGCCCCTTCACCCAAGCTCTGATACAGCGCCAGAGAGGTCCCAGTATCGGTAATCCTCACCGGGGTGTCCAGCTCCTAGTCATCTGCCTCTCCACCACTCTGCCTGTGTACTTTAGCTGCTGGCTGGAGCTTGGCAGATCAGCAGGTGTCAGAGAATGACGTTCTATCTGTCCTAATGGCCATGAACTGGGTGCCATGACACTTCCTCCTGAGCAGGTTACTCAGCCTCCTCACATTAATAATTTCAATGTTTGTAGCTACTGCCATAACACGACCAGGCTTTAGTCTGTTTTTTTTTTTTTTTTGCTTGGAGGTCACCTACTCTTATTTTCTTCTGGAATCATTTTGTGTTCATCTATTCTTGTCATCGATTGCTCTCATTTTGTATCATTACTAACACAACTTTTAGTGGGTAAGGAGTGTGGTTTTTTTTTAAAATTTAGTCTCAGTGCAAGACCTAGTAGAGCCCTACATGTCC